AGAAGAAAGTACCACTGAAAAGCTTTTCTCTCTGGTTTTTTTTTTTTTTTTTTTGAGACAGAGTCTCGCTCTGTCGTCAGGCTGGAATGCAGTGGCGTGGTCTTGGCTCACTGCAACCTCCACCTCCTGGGTTCAAGCGCTTCTCCTGCCTCAGCCTCCTGAGTAGCTGGAACTACAGGCATGCACCATCATACCCAGCTAATTTTTGTATTTTTACTAGAGACAGGTTTCACCATGTTTGCCAGGATGATCTCCATCTCTTGACCTTGTGATCCGCCCACCTTGGCCTCCCAAAGTGCTGGGATTACAGGTGTGAGCCACCGTGACTGGCCCACTGAAGAGCTTTTAAGAGGTTAACTCACTTTACTTTTTAGTAGTCTGACCGGTTAGAATTGATACTCCCTCCCTGAAATTCTCACCTTTGTAAGTTTTTGCAACATCCCTTTTGATTCCTCTCCTCTTTCTCTTTAGCCACTGCTCAGGCTTCTTTCTTAACTCCTCTGGGAAATGCTGATATTCCTAGGGTTCTGTCACTGGCCCTCTGCTCATTCTATACCTTTTCCATCATGGATAAGCTCACTCAGATCTATGATTTTGCCTCCGTTATTCCAAGTCTGCATCTCCAACCTCAGAGTTCCATCTCCAGCCATAAATGCCTATTATCCAATTACATACTAAAAATATCCTACATGGACATTCCAGTAAACTTAACAATGCTGAGAGAAATGTTAGTCATGCCTGTTGACCTGCTGCTCTCCTTTACACACCTGAAAACTGCCTACTCCTTCATGTCCCGGTTAAGTGCAAGGGCACAAGCCAGAAACCTGAGAATCATCTGAGATTTCTCCTTATCCCCTATTTTTTACATTCAATAATCACTAAATCATTTTAACTGTACCTCTTTTCTGCATCTGCTTTATATTTCCACCACCACACGTTTATTTTATGCTTATATTTCCTAGTTAAACATGGGTTCTTAAGTAGTGGCTTTTATAGGGAAAAAGCAACTATTAAAGTTATTTCTTAAATGGAAAAAAAAAGTTTAAGTAAAATAAATTAAAAATGCATCATGCCAAGAATGAGACCAACATTTTTAAATGAATAACTGAGCTCCTTAATCTTCTTGATTTCACCAGGACTGGTTGAAAACCTCACAACAGACTGCTACCAGTCTGAGGACAGGACAAGGAAACTATAGCCCTGATAACTGCAAACGCTTCCTTTGTTTCCCTGTCTCTTTATATGGTTATCTTCTAGCTGCCCTCCACATGAGGGGGTCAGCAAACTACAGGCCATGGGCCAAATCCAGTCTGCCTTATAGTTTCATAAATAAAGTTTTACTGGAGCTCAGTTGTGTGTATTTGCTTACGTGTTATCTATGACTGTTTTCATGCTTCAACGGCAGGGTTGAGTAGGAATGACAGAGACCACACGAAAGAGCCCTGTACAGAAAAAGCTTCCCAATTCCTGCTTTATACCATAACCAGAATGCCCTAATACTCAAGTCTAATTGTGTGACTCCCAGCTCACAATTGTCCAATGAACCCCTACAGTAAACATTGCTGTCTCCCTACCCGATTCCCTACTCTGTCTTGCTGGAGAAACACACGTCTATTTGGGTATTTATCAGGCCAATAGCCCTCCCAACTCCAAAAGAAGAAATGATTATTCTAAGCTTATCACAGTAATTACATTTGCTTTCCCAGTGCCTGGTTTAGGAATGAGCATGTGGTAGCCAATAAAATGTTACCGGAAGTCCACTGCATGCTTCTGAGTCTTCTCCCTAATTAAAAGAAACCTGTAAACAAAAGCCACCCTTTCAGCCTTCAGATATTGTCAGTGAGACCATGATGTTTGGAGCTGCTATTAATTAGCCAGCCATGAAAAGAGACATGAACAAAACACTGTGATATCACTGAACAGTCAAAACAACTCTGGTCCCTAGTGTTTTAGCCACTGTTAGTTAGGTCATCTAGTATTTGCAGCCCAAAGCATTCCACCGGGTAAATTTCCCATGGCCTACAGGAAAAGATCTACTCATTTCTACAGTATTAAAAAGTCTGGGCAGGGAGTGGTGGCTCATGTCTAATCCCAGCACTTGGGAGGCCAAGAGGGATGGATCACTTGAGGCGAGGAGTTCGAGACCAGCCTGTCCAACATGCCAAAATCCTGTCTTTACTAAAAATACAAAAATTAGCTGGGCATGGTGGCTTGTACCTGTAATCCCAGCTACTTGGGAGGCTGAGGCATGAGAATCACTTAAACCTGGGAGGTGGAGTTTGCAGTGAGCCGAGAGAATGCCACTGCACTCCAGCTTGGATGACAGAGTAAGACTCTGTCTCAAAAAAAAAAAAAAGAAAAGATGTCTGTCATAAGCTTGCCTTAGGTATTCACTTCATTCCCAACCATTCATGTCTTACATGATTTGCACTTGTAAAACCGGACTGCTCATAAACCCTGCAAAGTTCATTCAAGCATCTGACTTTTGTACTTGCTGCTCCTTCTGCCAAACACACAATCTTGTTAGATGTTCCTTCTGCCCACATCATCCTTCTGCCTCTTTACCTAGAAAAGTTCTACTTACTCTGCATGCCTACCTTAAATCCTACCCACTGTTTTACAGCTTTCATTCCTCACCACATAAAGTGTTGGCACATATTTAACACAATAAATGATCATCATACGCTTCAGAGGGCATCTAGCCCACAGTAGTAGGCACTGAATAAATAATTCAGCAAATAAATAAAATGACAATGATAATAACAAGATCCTGGGTTTTTTTGTTTTTTTCTTTTTTGAGACAGCGTCTTACTCTGTTACCCACACAGGAGTGCAGTGGCATGATCATAGCTCACCATAACCTCAAACACCCAGGCTCAAGAAATCCTCCCACCTCAGCCTCCCAAGTAGCTAGAAACACAAGCACCTATCACTGTGCCCAGCTAATGTTTTATTATTTAAAAAAAAATTTAGTAGAGACGAGATCTTGTCATGTTGCCCAGGCTGGTCTCAAACTCCTGGGCTAAAGTGATCCTCCCATCTCAGCCTCCCAAATTGCTGAGATTACAGGCATGCACCACCGTGGCTGGCCCTGGCTACATTTTTTAATGTTTGTATTCTGTAACATTAGAAAAAAAGTGCTTAGTGTCTAACAGACATTTGATAATTATTTGTTAAGTGGACAAGTGAATGATTTCCTTGGAAATTCTGTTGAAAAAAACACAGAAATTAAATAGAGAAAGTTCTATTATGAGCACCTCAAAGACTAAAACTATGTCTATTTCATGTTTGTCTCCAATAACTTGCAAAACCTAACTTACAGAAGTTCTTTGATTAATATGTACTAAATTAAAGGTGTCTTCTTACAATTCAGATTGTCCAATGCATGAGGCATCACATCTCAGTAGCACAGTAGCATTTTTGTTATTGTGAAACATTTTTATACTTTTATTATAATTTGTTGAGCCTAGAGTTGGGCTATTTGAATATTTATTATGATAATCTTTTGGCTAATGGTAACAGGATATCTTGTGCTAACAAAATTATTGTTATCATAACAACTAACCAGCAGGTAGAAGAACACATCTTGTTCTAATGAAGTAAATATACCTCATTCGATTTCAGATTGGGGGAAAGTCAATAATAGTGAGACCTTGTTGGTTTATAAGTATGTAACACAACCTGTACTTCTCAACAAGGAATTGCTTTTCTGACTTCTGCACTCAGTAGATATCTTTAAAAATAATTTCCTATTAGTATGCACACTGGGTATGTTTTGCAGGGTTTTTTTCTTTTTTGGAGACAGGGACTCACTCTGTCATCCAGGTTGGAGTGCAGTGGCATGATCACAATCATAGCTCACTGCGACCTCGACTCCCAGGCTCAAGTGATCCTCCCATCTCAGCCTCCCAAGTAGCTGGGATTACAGATGTGCACCAAAACATCCAGCTAATTTTTTTACTTGTTTTTGTAGAGACGTGGTCTCACTATGTTGCCCAGGCTGGTCTGGAGCTTCCCAACGCAAGCAATCCTCCCGCCTAGGCCTCCCACTGTGTGGGACTACAGCTGTGGGCCAGCACACCTGGCAATTTTGCAGTTCTTATTGCTGTTTGTTTATGGTGCCAGAAAGGCAGTGTTGATTTTCCAGTTTTGAAACTACTTTGTGTTACTTTAGTGACACAAGTCACTATGTAATACTGCTAGCCTTTGAACAACACAGGTTTGAACTGCAGGGGTCTACTTATAGGCAGATTTTCTCCCACCTCAGATAGCAAAGACCAATCTTTCTCCTCCTCCTTAGCCTACTCAACTTGAACACTATGATTAAGAGTTATATAATGATCCACTTGCATTTAATGAATAGTAAACTTACTTTTTCTTATGATTTTCTTAATAAGTTTATTTCTCTAGCTTCCTTTATTGTAAGAATACAGCATATTAATACATACACCATACCAAACACATCTTAATTGACTGTTTATGTTATCAATAAGCTGCTGGTCACCCTCTTGGGGGACTCAAAAGTTATACACAGATTTCTGAATGCAGGGGGAATCAAACATCCCTAAATCCCATGTTATTAAGGTCAACTGTGATTGATACTCATTTACTAAACACAAGCCATTTATTTTAAAAATTAAATAGAAGTTCCAATTTCATAACAAGTCTAATTCATTATAATGTGACCATAAAGAAAACATACAACTTACTAACTTAAAAATACCTTTTTGTTATTTAAACGAATATATCATATAGGATTTTAGGGACCATAATTAAATAATTTTTTTCAGACAAGATTGTTTAAGATAATAAATGACCTGCAATTAACTTTTTAAATAATTGAGAAATCTAACCTACCAAGAAAGAAATTAAGAGAAAAATATACAAGCAACTTACACACACAGGGCTTTTAAAAAACTGCTCTTCATGATCAAAACTTCCTTACTCTTACTTTTTTATCTATAGGACCAGCCAAAATAATTCACTATCAGAAGTCTTACCTGGATTGTTATTTTGAGGAAGACTTTTGGGTGTCTGTTTTTCCTTATATTCAGAAATTAGTTGCTGAATGCTATGGATAAAAATGTAATAAATGAAATTACTATTTTAAAACAAATGAAAAATACCAAATATATTAAATTTTTAGAGTATTTCAAACAATATCAGAGTTAATATCAGGACTTCATCCTATATACTAATTTGCGAGTTCTACCAACTTCTCTTTAAGCTTTTAAAGAAGAAAACAAGATGAAGTACTCCTAAATTGAAGGGAGTATGGCTCAGTATAAATTAACTCACATTCGCCTGACATAATGGAAAGTGTCCTAGCTCTGTTACCAGCAGCTACTTATTCTCCAACAAGGCGCTTCTCTTAGGCTCAATGTATTCTTCTAAAAAGCAAGGATTTTACTGGCTTATTTCACTAGGTTGTTAAAGATTTAATGAAATAATGTTTTGAAAATGCTCAGATAAACAGTGAAGCAATGAAATAATTTGTTCTTGAACTTTATTGCCAAAACTATTTCCCAATGTGTATTTTTTCAGAGGTTCTAAAATTCCCATTGCAGTTTTCTGAAACTGTTATTAAGTCCTAGTTTTGCTTATCAGTTGTTCCATTCTTTGTGGCTTATAATTCGGGGCATCACGACTATTTCATAGTTTGTAACTAAATTTTCTTATAAATATATTATTCCATCAAACTAGATAACATCACTGTCCACTACGACTGACCTCATCAATCACACTAAGGGCAGAAAGCTAACAGATGTCAAGACCTAGCTTGGACTACTGTTCCAGACTCAAACTCTGAATTGGCAGATCTTTGTTAGAATGATGCTCAATCCCCATGTTAACCTCCAACTGACATGGAAAACAAAATTCTACTTTTATTTTTTTCAGTTCCATGAAAGAGATGCAAGTTGACATTCTCTCATTTCTGAGATACATACTAACAATATATTTGCACACACATCCCACACGTTACTCAGCTTAATTCTCATTCCATAGATCCCCTTACTGCATATTTTTGTAGTGAAAATCACAATTTTAATATGAGGTTACACCCAATTTGCTTTGACTCACACCGTTTCTTTGGAGCTAGTCAGCAAACAGTCAAATGAACTTCCAGTGACAGTGCAAAATATGGACCACTTCACAGATCTGTACATCATCTTTATGCAGGGGCCGTGCTAACTTTCTCTGCATTTTGTTTCGATTTTAGTATATGTTTGCTGCTGAAGCAAGTACAAAGCTCTCCTTTTATATGTGGATACTCATGAGTCATGAAAGAGGCTTAGCTCTGTTAAATCCAACTAACATTCTTGAGACTCAGAATTCTGGTGATAGCTTCCTGCTACAACTCTTGGGAAGGATAATATAGGACCTTCCACGATCTAAGAAAAAGTACTATACTGGATATACAGGGCTCTCAGCGTACAGATCTGGTAGCACTGAGAAAAGGAAACTCATCTCTTTCTGCAACATTATTTGAACTGAACCCGAGGGCCTAAAGGATAACTTAACATAAAGCTCTTGGCTAAGCCTAAGCTAAGATGTTGGCTCCACCTAGGTTCTGAGTGAGGGATGAAGGGTCAGTTGGCTCACTATGTATGTGGATAATGCCAGGAGGCTCAGCTGCCAGAGCAGGATGCTGGGAACAATGCCTGAGCATACAAACATATGCATGTGAAGCAAAAAAAGTTTAACTTTGAAATCTATGTATGGATCACCATGAAGACTTGAGGGCATCCTGGTGGCAAAGGTCAACCATTACTGGACTGCAGGACCAGTTTCAATGCAATGACACAGCAACAGAAACAACAGCGGAAACAACAGGATGATTACCTTTTTCTTCCCTCCTTCTGACATGCAAAAGAGGGGTGTCTTCTGAAACTTACAGAACCCCACAGGTTCTGAAAAAATTCAAGAAGGGTAGAGGAGGCAATCCCCAGAAGACAGTACAAAATTTTCTGCCAAACTGGACATTTCTTTTTTTTTTTTCCTTTTTTGAGACGGAGTTTCGCTCTTGTTACCCAGGCTGGAGTGCAATGGCGCGATCTCGGCTCACCGCAACCTCCGCCTCCTGGGTTCAGGCAATTCTCCTGCCTCAGCCTCCTGAGTAGCTGGGACTACAGGCACGCGCCACCGTGCCCAGCTAATTTTTTGTAGTTTTAGTAGAGACGGGGTTTCACCATGTTGACCAGGATGGTCTTGATCTCTTGACCTCGTGATCCACCCGCCTCGGCCTCCCAAAGTGCTGGGATTACAGGCTTGAGCCACCGCGCCCGGCCCAAACTGGACATTTCAAGACCCAAATACCTAATTAGAAAACCCTAAGCTGTGACACTATTTTTATCTCATGCATAGGGGTTACACTTGGAATGAAATGGACAATGCTGGGATCCCTAAGGATAAAGGTCTTAAAAGTCCTGAGATAAGCCTGCACCCTTTGCTACTTTTAACTGGTTTGGCCTTTTGCTGGATTTCAGGCTAATGACATAGACTAATTCATTGCCACTCCAAAACTACCTGAACCAAACTATAAAATCTCACCTGATGTATACAATACAATCAATATAATTATTTTAAACCTCAATTTAGTGTTAACTAGCCTTTTAATGTAAATAAACACTTACCCAGTAAACTGATTAAAAATTGCATAATCTTCCGCAGTCCTCCCAAACATATCTTGAGAAGAGATGTCAATATTTTGCTGCAGAAGGCGGCTAACTATGTTTGCTGATCCACACTGTACGGCGAGAATGAGGGCTGTTCTAAAATGACAGAGCGATAACTTCTCCCTTAGGAACTGTAATAAAGCTATTTAAAAAGCTTATTCAGTATACTTTACCAACTTAATAGCTTGCCTGTCCATGTAGAATTAAGCATTTACTTGTACTAACAGACACCAGCACCTTGGGTGCTCAAGTGTTCATCTTTGTAAATTACCACCAAGGCTAAAAGGAAGGGACAAAGAGGAAGCCTCTTGTCCCAGTGGGGTATGTCATAGTAGAAGTTACTAATTTTCAGTCCCCTGATGAGCAAGAAACTATGCTGAGGTCACTTATCTAAAGTACGCAAAGATTTAAGTGAAGATTTCACCACTGCTTCCCTAGACTGATATGCTGTAATTCGAAATCAGCCAGGGGTCAGATAAGTGAGAGCTATCTGCAGGCTGAAAAACAATAATATCAATAACAATGGTAATACTAGTAGTCATAGTGGTTTCAGTTACTGATACTGATAAGCATGTGCTAGGCACTGAATTAAATGCTACACACACAATCTTTCTTACATACACAACCACCCTGGAAGGATATATTAGTATCCTCCTTTTAATACAGAAAAACATATTTGGTGATGAGTAATGTTCCCAAGGTCACACACCTAGCAAATGGGAAAGCTAGAAATTTAAACTCAGTCTTGTGTGAATCTGAAGCCTAACTCTTTTCTCTTTATCATCCACCTATGAGTTGTCTTCATGAAAGAAAAAGTTTATCCACTGAAAACTGTATTTTCTCCCTCTGCCCATACCAATTTAAAAAACATCAAAATACATTAGAAGTGAAAAAGGAAACCCACATATCTGGTAATGGCAACAATTAACAGTCATGTAGAGATAATCTAACATTAATATTCTTCAAAGAAATAAAGCAAACAGTTATCCAAAAGACAAAATTATTTTTAACTCTATTCATGTTAACAGAGTATGTTTAAAAGAAAAGCATGTAAGAAAGAGAGATTAAAAACTACAATAAAAGGGTTAAGAAATTCAGTATTGAGTCATAAAGTAAAAATTAAAAAGTCCACACTCCATAAAACTAATAAACTGACAGGAGACCTCTTTAACTAACACAAGATCATATGAGCCAAAACATCAACTTACAAATAACAAACACCAGTCAGTATAAGAGAAGATGAATCCTCCTATACACTGTTCTTCATGTCGCCCAGTCCAAATAATTTTCCACCAGATGATTTGTGTTTATATTTTTTACTATATCCCAGTAATTTTATTAATCTTTTTATTAATTTAGTATTTCTGACTTGAGTGACTGTTTTCACTCCAGAACAACACTGAGGGTTAAAAAAAGAACATACCTTTGACACTTATTAACTGCAAGTAAATTTGCTGCTCTCTCCAGGAAAAATTCTACCATTTGCTGTCTTTTTCCGCTTATGGCAAATAGAAGTGGTGTGAGGCCATTCTGTAACACACCAACAACAATTTATAATTCACAAAATTCTTATTTCTCAACTGGACTGGAAACCTTACATAATATCCTATAGACTTAAATGTATAACACAGAAAGTAAATTAAAAATAGCCTCTTCCTTCTCACTCCTCTGTTTTCCCATGTGCTGCTCCTTCCCTTACAGGCCACCCTCCTCTGCCTCACCACATCAACTTGAGTCATCTCCAAAACTCCCTTCAAATATTACTGGCTCCAAAAATCTTTGCTTCTATCACAGTATTTAGCATGGAATATTTTAATGGTTGTATTGCTTCCCATGTAAACCAAGAGCTTCTTGGAGGGCAGGCTCTTTATCGCTATATATGTCTCTGTATTTATCTCCATATTTCCAACCCCTGAGATATACCAGTAAATGCTTCAAGTATTTTTACTAAATTAATGATCTAATATATTTGCCTTTAGATCAATGTTTCTTAAACTACATTCCAAAGAATACTTTACCAGAAGTTATAGACTGTACCCCAACAGGAAGATTCCACGATCATCTACATTTGGAAAATATTATTAAACAGCACATTATATATCCAGTATTCAAGAAATCTCTTGAGCTTTGCCTAATCCCTATTTGGCAATACTTTCTTTGTGGCAAACATTAACATTTGAAGATTTAGAGTTTCCGGAATACAGTGGTGAGAGCTTTCCAGTAAAGGTGGGTGTTTCCTCCAGGTTATACAAACTTCCTTAATTCTCTTCCATCACTGGTGTCAGGATCCCAGATGCCCAATGTCAGTGCCCAGTGTCAGGCCCTTCTGCTACAAATGGATCACTAAGAAAATGGTCTGTGAATTACAGAAATCAGCTTCAAATGAACTTCCATTGCTTATTATTAAAAGGCTCACAGGTTTTCTCCTACTACAAGAGGACAGATTTTTCCTTAGATGTTAGAAAGCACAGTATAAAATTCTGTTCTTAATTATAATCCTCAGACCCTAATGCATATCTACTATTAAAATTCTTTGTTAATTTTGTTTTTATTGCCTCTTAAAACTATCTTTCATTTTAGGCAAAATGTAAATCAGAAATACAAATACAATGGCTTATCAATAAAACTATCTAAAATCCATCTATCTGGATTGTTTCTATAATAATGAAAGCCACTAAGTCACCTGCATTTCTAAGGGACAATGCTGAGGAGAAAAATATAATGTTTTTTTTTTGCAATATGAACAGCCCAGCCACCTATAGCCAGAAATAACCCAAACAGGCTTACAGGCATGCTGATGGGAAGGCGACTCTTTGTGGTATCTATAAAGCAAAAGAGTTTTTAAAAACAACTTCCAAATCCTAAAGTTCAACCCCATTACTAAGGGATATCTACAAAATACAGAATATATATTATAAACAAATATAAACTGTTTTGAAAAACTTCAAATCTTTATCAAAATATGCCATAAGACAGGAGCTGTAAACTCAAATCTTACCAAGGCAAAGGAAGTGACCTGAGTGAAGCACCTAGGTGGGCGCAGCAGCAAACCAGAGAACATATACCTCATACGAAGGGGCAACCTAGTCACAGCACACCCAACAGCGACATGGGCTCAACCTGGTCGTAGCACACCATCAGTGACATGGGCTCAAGGGACAACAGGCTTGATTCTTTTTTTTTTTTTTTTTTTTTTTTTTTTTTTTTTTTT